TCAAGGGCGGGGGGGGGGGGGGGGTCTGAGGAGCCTGAGTGTTTGTGGAGCAAAAATATCAACGTCGCTCAGTGGACAGAGCGTCGGCCTGTGGACCTAAGGGCCTCGGGTTTGATTCCCGGTCAAGGGCACGAACCTCAGTCCATGTGTCTCTTTCATGGACGTTTCTCCCTCTCCCCCCTCTTCTCCCTCCTTCCTTCCTCTCTCTCTAAAACATCGATGGAAAATCATCCTCAAGTGAGGATTGGAAAAGAAAGAGTAAGTCTAGGTTGGGCAGACAGTCCTTTTAAAAAAAGTATGTTTTTTATTGATTTCAGAGAGAGAGAAACATCAATGATGAGAGACAATCATCCATTAGCTGCCCCTGCACGACCCCCCACTGGAGATCAAGCCCACAACCTGGGCCTGTGATCGGGAATGGAACTGTGAGCTCTTGGCTTGTAGGTAGGTCAACACTCAACCCCTGACATAGGGGCTGGGCCCTGCAGTCCTTTGGCTCTAAGTGCCGCCCCCACGGTGGCCTGGGGCCTCCCATGGCTCCCGGCTCCCAGCTGGGTGCTGACTGTTGGTGATGCTGACCAGTGTCTGACCCTGCAGAGCGACGACGCTGAGGAGGAGAATGAGGGCGGAGGTCACCAGCCCTTTCCACCGCCCCCTTCAGAGCAGTGATGAAAGAATAGGCACCTAAAAATAGCAAAAAATAAAATAACATCCGCCCAGAAGATGAGGGTCCCCGAGGGGGTTGGTTGGAAGAGCTGCAGTCCGGCCTGTGGGCTGAGCCCCTCCCCGACCTCAGAAGCTCCTGCTGGTCCAGAGCCCAGGTCCCTTCAGGACTTGTCCCCTTTCCCTGTGGCTGTAGAAGAAGGACTTCTCACCTTTCCCCGCCCTGCCAGGCCCAGCCCATCCATGAGCAAACCCTTAGGGCCATTTCCTGGTTTCCTCCCCAAACCCAGCAGGGCCCGCCCCCCACCGCAGGCAGTTTCATTTTCACTTGAATCCCGCCCAGGACTTGGGAAGTTGCTGCTCCAGGTGACTCCCTCCAGCGAGTGTGTGGCCTCAGTGTTTGCCCAGGTACTGGGGAGGGTCTGGGCGGGTCTCCCAGGGAGGGTCGTGACACCTGGTGTGTGGACAGGAGGGGGTGCGGTGGGGGGCCTGGGCGGCAGGGAGGGGCATGTTTGAGACACCAGGGCCTCTGGGCTCTGTCCCTCCAGGCCCTGCCCCACAGCCCTTCCGGAGGCCGCTTTCGCTTCCACCAAAGTCCAAGCTGATCCAACCTCAGGAGATCCGGGTGCGAGGCGGGGGGAGTGGAGGCTGGGACAGGCTCCCGGGGCCCCTGGAGGGCAGGTCCTGTCCTGGGTACACAGCCCAGCCACAGAGGACCCCAGTGTGTCCCCGGGAAATCACCGCCCGGGAAGGGACTCTGAGCAGAAACTCTCTGTGGCTCCGGAGGCTGCCTGGTTACAGAGGAAGAGGGGCCCAGTGGTCTCAGGGATTCCGGGTTGTGTTCCCTCCATTGTCAGGTCCAGGAAGGTCGATCTGCAACCTGCCCGCCTCCCTCCGCTCCCAGGAGGGCAGGCCTGGCTCTCCAGGAGCTGCAGCCCCGTCCAGGGTCCCAGGGTCCCTCCTTCACTCTCTGGTTCCTGGGTCCTCCCTGGAGGACCTTGGGGTCTTGTCTTCCCATTTGCTCCCCCTCCCCTCGTCCCCCAGGGTTCCAGGGGCCTGGAACGTCTCCTGGGAGACAGTCCTGGCTGGAGGAGAGGTCACCTGACTGGGCCTCCAGAACCCGCCCCTCTCTGCCCAGCCCAGGCCTTTCCTTTATTTAAAAAAATCCTTGTATTGATTTCAGAGAGGAAGGGAGAGGGAGAGAGAGAAACACCGATGATGTTTCTCCTGCA